CTCCTACGATTTGCTCCTACAGTGGCGTCTGTGATGGATGAGGTCTTTGCTCGGCACACAAATTACAAAGGTGTCTGAGTAGCTGCAGAGCGTCGCTGGTGGCACATGACCACAGAGTTTGAGTCTGTGCTTACACATTCTGAGAAGCAGAACTGAGCTGGTACGCACAAAACTAGAGAAGATGTACCAAAAAAGAATGAAAGAAAAAAAAGAAGAAGCACAACAATGTAACATCACTGGACAAAGCAGCTCACCATAAAGCACCAGAATGTACAGAGAAAAGCCAGAGAGACAGAAATACACTGAGCAGTTTGTACAAAAAAAAAAAAAGATATCTGTGCATAAGTTTCCTTGATTTACTTTCCAGAAGGACAAAATGAGGCTTTGTTTGACAACAAATGACATGTATCTGAGTTGGATATGCTGGCATGATCCTCTACAATTTTATGCAAAGATGGGGCACCTGAGTAGAGAAGAGACCATTATTTCTAGAAATGGTTAGTCTGCACTGAGAGGTATGACCTGCCTGGGGAGGCTTTAGTCCCTTTAGCCCTTCTCCCTAAGAAATCAAATAACTGACTCCTACCCCTACTTTTTTGCCCTAAACTCTTTTAAAAAGTTTGTTAATACCTACTACTGCAGAATAACAACTTTGATTACTTCTATTCTCCCCTCTTCCCCTCACTTGTTTACCCCTTCAGTGCAAGACGAGACCATCCAAGTCGCTGTAATGAGTAAAACTCACACTGAGGTAAAACGAAACATCAGTCCCACGTTCTATGAAAAACTTGACTCACAAAACAGGATGCCTATGTTCACATGTTCTACGTGTTACAAAGTGTGCAGTATCAAGAAACTGATCAGAATCCATTCGATGAGTTACCAACATGAGGTATACTGTTTTAATAAAACCCTTACAAAAAGAGGATGAAATAAACACAATTATCAAAGGTAAATATCATCTCTACAAAATAAGAGCATGAGTAATTTTTCCTCCCCACAAATCTGATTGTTCTAGCCAACAAAAAGGTGAACAAAAGGAAGAAAAAAAAAAAGAGTTACATATGTTATAGAGATAGTGGTTAATAGAGCTCCTATAAGGAGAGCATACATACTTTATGCTGGAGGGCAGGCTTTCTGCTGATCCCCATTTCAGATCCTCTGTTAGCTCCACACACCATAATAATCCACTACTGCATCAAGACTATAAACACAGACAACATGATCTGCTTTAAATCAATAATTTGTGGAAAAATGAATACAAAACTATGTCCAGCTAAGGTCTTACATTAGATTTTGGCAGCTACAGTATTATGACATCTAACTCCTTCATCACAGATGTGATAGTGTCTTTTTTTTTTTTTTTTTTTTGTGACTGAATAACATCCAAAAACTTTCAGGCCTAAATCAACTAATTTTCTAACGTGTTAAATGTCCGTGAGAACCAAATGGTGCAGTGGTGTAGAGAATTGACTTTCTCTATTACCGGGCAGAGAACAATCAGCAAATAATATGCACTTTGTATGCAATGACAAGAGATGCTGACAGAACAGCTGCTATGTGAAAAAGCAAACGGTGTAAAAATGGCCATGCTGGGTGAGAGACAACTTGATAAACTCAATACTCAGAAGATTAACTTTAGTAATTGACAATTTACTCAAAACACTACCTTGATTTACTGTCAGGATTCACTGTCCTCCTTTCACTTGGTCACAGTCCGGGTAGTTTTGTAAACACTGCAGCTTTAGAGTCTGCAAATGCTGTGGCGGCTGGAGGAACTGAACCCATGTCTGGATGAAGCCTGTCAGGAACACAGTCTGGGCTTTTAGCACTTCTCTTCTTAAGGTAGCATGGCTAGTCATGGCTGACCTGGACTGAGCGAGGTATGTTAAAGATATCAAACTGGAATGCTTTTGAATGCTTCTTTACGGGACTCAGCACGTTACACGCTTGTGAGAATGATGAGGATTAATATCAGTAAAGAACCGTATTGGTAAAGAACCTGGGTCAAAAGTATACATACATAGTTTTCGGCAGTTTGCTTTAAAGGGCAAATGATTATCAAACCACAGGGCAGAGAGCTTTGGCTGCTTTACCCTCCATACATTTAAATGATCACCTCGATCGATGATGTCACAGCAGGTGTTTTACCTCCAACAGTGATGTAAACCTGCCTTGACATCACTGATTGGAGCGTGGCCACAAATAAAACAAGCTTGTCGTTGTGGATTGATGAGCTGAGTAGTGCAGCAGCAGTTTTCTTGCTATGTGAGCTTGCTGTGGATTTGCCCTTTATATATACCATTTAATGGTGGTTTGCCAAATAGCACAAGCCAGTGAGTGCTACACATTTTTTTTTTATAATTACTATATTAAGGGACATAATAAATATTTCTCTGACAGTTGTTAAAATCTAAATTTTCCACCTATTTACCCCCCCAAAATGTCCAAATTACATTTGACCCAGGTTTATTAAGAACATTCACTTCTGTCCGTAAATGACTGCTACTGCAGTAAAAAATAAAAACAAAAATAAAAACACGTCAGTCTTGTTTTGATGTTGAGTAAATACATGTCAAGGCTAAAAAAATAAGTCTCTTTGAGGTACCAACCATGCATTTTGTACAGAAAATCAGGAACAATGAACGTTTTAGAGCAAACACAATTATGTTGGTAAGAAACAGGTTGAGGATGTTTCATACAAGAACCATTTACATTTCTACTGCTGATGTATTTTGAGTTGAGCTGGTGAGAATTTTACAGTTGCATGAATGTGAGTACAAACATGGGCACGATAGAAAGGGTTCGTCTGCTATCGTTACACTGCTGGATGACTGAAAGAAAACCACCTGAGAGAAGATGAGACATAATGAACAACAGGGCTGGACTCAATTGTTCTGCCTAATTTTTGAAGTTCATTTCAATCATATTATCGTTGTTATTTTCTACAAACTGATCCGAGCCTTTGCAAGCCTGCAACTGCCGTATCAGTCAGTTTTTAACGCACTCATACAAAGCAATGGTTGTCCTTTGTTTCCACCACAACTGTAGTGACTTAAATCATCGTGTTATCCGTCATAAAGTTGTCTTTTTGATGTGAAGCACCAAGTGAAATCAAAACCGACTCACTTCCATTACTTACTGGTAATAAGTTTAGCTGAGATTTTGCCACGAAGTCATGTGCTCGTCCGCCTAAGATATCTGTAAGGTTAAAGTGTGGTGAATACAACCTGTTGTAGCCGCATGCTAACAGCTAACTCATTAGCCAACTTAGCTGAGCTAGCACCTGTCAGTGACAAAAGCTTTCATTCCGCCATTTTGCTTACCATTGCACACAAATTTGGTAAACGGTCGAAAATTATTGAAGAAAAAAAAAAGATGCTTGTCAAATTAACAAAGTATCTACATGGCTGTTAGCAGCTTAGCTTCGATGCTAACATGACTAGATGTTCACATAATTTTGAATATGTACCTGTATTTGACTGTAGTTTCATTCATGTTTGCACACCGTAGTGTTTATTTTTACTATAACAGAGGTCGAATACTGGTGACTGGCGAAAACAACTAATTAGCTACGATGGCGACCTCCATTTTGAACTTTCCAGGGGTCTGTTTCACAAAGCAGGTTTAGTGAAAACTCTGAGTCTTCACTAAAGACTCAGACTCAGAGTTTTCACTAAACCAACCCCAATTCTTAAGGGTCGGCACTATCAGGAAGGAATCCAAAATAAACTGTTGTAGTAACACTCGTTGGCTGTAGGTGGCAAAAAGAAGCCACTGCCTTCCTTGCTTACAGTTGATGCCACTTTGACTGGAAATCGCAAATGGATGATAGCGGGTAGACCTACAGTTTCAGGTGCTTCACATCAAAGCCACTGGTTGTTCATGCTTTTGGTAGGTACAGAATGTTACAGTGAACAACGCACTGAAGAGATATAACTTCCTGTTTTGACGTAATGCAAGAACATACAGTCAGTGTCGGACGATTATTTCTGCAATGCTGAAAGGCTGTAAAATCAGACAGGTTCAGAAAAAGATCTTAAAAAGGTGCTAGATACATGAAACTAATAAAACCACACTGGAAACCATCCTGAAAAGAAATGAGGTAGTGCTGTTGATAAGGAGTAGGGATGCACCAGTCCGTCTTTTACACTGCTTAACCCAATCCTGACTCACTTTGTTTAATGTAATCATTTATTACTTGTTAGCAGAAATCTATTTCATTTTAATCAAAGGAGAGTAAAGGGGCACTTTGATTGATTTTTTTCCTCATTTTTCATCTTATGAATGCAAAACCTTTAAAAAATAAAATAAGATTCTGACATGCTAGCAGAGAAAATAATTGTAAACATTTTCTCCTACAGCTGGGACCAGATGGGCTTGAAAGTTGAATTTCCCTTCAATTTAAACCATTTTGCAAAACCTTCTATACCAAGTTAAAACCAGGCTCCAGCATCTTGACAACAGTATGGACATTGGTGCATCCCTAACTGGGAGCAGAAAAAGGAGAGTGGTCTACAGATGGATTGTAATATCTCCTCTAGTTCTCCCACCAACATAATTAAACCGATACCAAAATCAACACGTGAATACTTTGATTCCAAAATGAGATATCCACCATCTTTAAAAGAGGAAGAAAAAAAAACAAACACCTTTTACTTTTCAATTAAGTGTCCCTGGTTTACAAAATCACACCACCTGGATATATGGCATTTTGGAAAAGAATACTTCACATGTACCAAATCTGTATACTCCATATCATTTTACATTTTCAGTGTTTTGTTTTTTTTTATCCTTCATGTTGACATGTTTTGTAACTGTACTGAATATAATCATATATAGAAATATACAGAGGTTATAAACGCACCTAGAATAATTAGGCACCTGAGACCCCCACACTCCAGTCAGGAAATGTGTGTGAATGCGTGTTTATGCATGACTGTTTGAATTTGTGTGACGTATCAAGGAATTTGCTATTATTGTAGCTTTCTTTGTGTTTTTCAGTGTGTGTCTGTGTGTGCGTGTGGACCCTGAGACAGCAGGAGGCTGGAGAGAAACACAGGTGGTCTGCACTCTCAGAGTGTGCAGATACTCTTTAAGGCTTATTCCTCAGTGCCACTGCAAAGTAGCATCCACACAACGAAGCCCGGGGAGACCCTCCGCTTCCAATCCTCCCATCGACGATGATAGCCTGTTGAAGTGCTCACTCACTCAGGGAACGTTCCTGGCTTTTTCTCATTCCTGAGTGGAGCAGAGCCATGTGCGACACAGTGGGAATAGCCTCCTCCAATCCACTTCCATCTGCTTGGTTAAGTTAATTTTTTTTTCTTTTTCTTTCCTATGGACAGGAAAGTTACCCAGAGGAAAGTATGGTTGCAATGCTAGAGAATGCATACCCATATACAGTACTCTACCACTAAAAATATACTGTATATGTATACCGTATATACACACGTATGAAACAATGGATTCAAAGTACCTATAAAACTTTGCAAAGAAGAGAAAGAAATCCAATAATGAGGTGCATAAAATAATCCGTAGGGATTCTTCCTGGGCACATAAAAGAAAGTCAGTCTATGCGTGGCTGATGCCCTACATGCAGAGGCTATGGGCACAGATAACTGTGTGCTGCTGAGGTAGAGTGGACAAGGCCGGAGCTGACAAAGGGGGCAGGGGACCGTCCAGCAGAGATGGCCTTCCCCGGTGCTGAAGGGCAGTGTCTGGAGTCCCCGTTTTCCAGATGCTCTGACCTCAGCACAGACCTCACAGTCTTAGGCGAGTGGAAGCCATTGGTCAGCCCCATGTCCTGCTGTGGCTCTGTGTCTGCAGGCGGCTGGTGTCCTATACCTTCTATCTCCCCGTTGTGATTAGCCATCAGCTTTATTGAGGGAAGACTCGAGGGGCTTTGGGCCTGTGATAGTTTTTCTAGAGGTTCCTCCTCTGCTGGCGGACTTGCCAGGAGAGGAGGGGAATATCTGTCCTCTGATAATGAGGGTCCCCTGGTGGTGTTGGACTCCTTGTCCCGCTCACTGCACTCCTCCTCTTTCTCCCTCCCAGGATCTGACAGCTCAGAGTGAACAATGACTTCTGCCTCGACCTGGTTACTGCACAGGGATGTACACAGGCGATCTTCTAAGCCCTGCAACAAAACAATGTCACTGTTAGTTGTTTTCCTATTAGTTTATCTCGCTGAGCAACTCTGAGTCCATTATAGTTCCTCTGTACACATCCCAAGGGCATGTGCTGGTGTAGGGGATGAATGTTTCATCTACTCCTATGTAAGCCTCAACTGTTGGTGTGTCCACCTAACTAGCTTTTGGCTGTAGTAGTGAGTGTTACTTCGAGGGCCAAGGAGCACAGGTTAAGTATTAATACTAGAACTAACAAGCTTCGCCCTTCAATACAAAGACAATTTTTACTTCTGTGTTTTCTGCAATAGGTGGGTATTCTAATTTTTAACCTGTGGAGTAAAAACTTTAGCCTCAGTCTGCAATAATCTCATATATGGAGGCCAATGCATATTTAATACCACATGCATAGTATTCATGCAATAAGCCAGTCAGCTGCAGACAATAAAAAGTCATTTCTTGGAGCAAAAATTAATCTAGCTTTGGCTGATATCTGCCAGCGACACCTGTCACATCAGGCAGCAGAATCGATGGTCACCAGCCAGAAATGAGATGCTGCTTTTGTTTACCTCTTTCCGAAATCAAGTTTTCTGTTTTTTTTAAAATAAGATTGCATTTTAGTGGTTTGTCTGCCACTGTTTAGATCTAAATTGCATTGACTATGAGGGGTGTGACTTATTAGTCTGTCAAGAACATATATGATTTTAGCCAGGGATGCTAAAGCTAAAGCTGTTTGTCACTGGCTGACCGGCTACAGTAGTTCATGCAAGTTGTTGTGTTGTGTTTCTTCAATTACCGTGCCGTTATCTGTAATTAGCATGTTGAGAGCTCCATTGATGAGTGCTGGAGAGTCTTCTGTTATGGTGTCTCTGTATCTAGTGATTCTGTTGGCCCAGTTATGGCTCACAGAGCCGTTCCAAGCAGCCTGCAACATGAACACAGTGAAAGCATCAAAATTAGGTCTATTATCTCTCTATCAACACGTGAAAATAACAACAAAAAAAAAAAACACAGAGAACATCCAAGGCCCATCTGGAAATGAGTTTTTCCCTTGCAGGTTTCGACCTTGGGTTCAGGTGCGGGGGCATCCTCCCCTTCCCTTGGATTAGCACTTGCCATCAGACTCTGTTCCTCTGGGGCCTCTGCTGGCGGCTGACCAGACTCTTGGCTGCCGAGGGGCATTAATGTCTCCAACTCATGACTATCGCTGCACTCTGGCACGGTGGTGGGAACAGGGCAGCCTCCTCTCCTGTACTGAGGCGTCATAGCTGTGGAGTCCAGGCCTCTCGATATCTCCCTATTTGATGCAGTGGATGTGAGGGATAGAAAAAAAAAAAGACTGAATAATATGCAGGTTTAGCTTTTTGTTGTTTTAATAAGGAGTGTAATAGGTAACATGCATTGGTGCTGATCTACTGATGCTGTGCAGTTACTGTACCTGGATTTGCTGTTACGAAAGCTGAAACACATGCAGAGGAGGATGCATATCAGTCCCAGACACACACCGACTATGATGCCTGTCACTGCATGGATATCCAGCTCTGTTAAAATATCAAACAATATGCAAAAAAAAGAAAAAAAATTTAATGAACACAAACAACAAGCAGGCCTTTAAAGTGGCAGAAATGTAGCCAACCCCAGATATATACACCATATTAATTTTCACATTTGATCTATTACTCATAATAGAAGTCCATCCAAAAAAAAAAATTATAGGAATTATAAAAACACATCGTGACTGAAATACTACTTGGCACAGGTCTGGCATAAAGGGACTATTAGAAGTGACTGATTCCTTCATGTAAGGTAAGGTTACTGTAGCAAAGAAACACAAGGCAGCATTGAACAAGGGAGAGGCAGACCTTCATTGATATTCATTTATGCTGGGTATCTTTGGCAGTCTGGATTAGGAGAGGAGAGGAAACAGATGGCAGAAGATCTCACCCACCCACCAGCCACCTCAGTCCCATTCACACTGCATACTGGTAACACTATTACAGCTCATGTGAACAAAATAAACCTGTTACTCTGCCTTTTTATTAGAGTTTTGCTTTTCAGAAAAAAAAAGAAGAAGAAGAAGAACAAACAACAATACTGCATTTGACTGCTTCTTGTGCTGCCAAAACTACCCTCTGTAATTACAATATTCACAAAGTAAACAATATCCCTCTTAGGTGCTCATGACAGAAAAATAAAACGACAAAATGCTTAATTGTTCACAGAGGAGTTAAAGGTATAGCTATGTTTAAAGTAATTACAGGTATGACTAAAATGCTGACTGAATGTACGGGAAAGCGTGAGCTTGAACAAAAAAAAATGACACGAGAGTAAAGAAACTGCTGTCCCCAGCATATTCTACTATGTACACAGAACATTATTTCAAAGATCTCCCTTGGGGGTCGCTGATGAGGCCACCCCCCACTTTCATATCCACGCTTTAATGCTATCCTCAAAATGTGGAATAGGGCAACAGAAACAACAGAGTCATGCAGATGTACAGCTTCTCTGCTTGCAGGGACAAATTGCACACTTTAATTGGAGGGACTGTGTGTATTTCTGTGATATATGCACAGATAGTAATGGAGGGTGTGTGTTCTTGCAACAAAAAAAGAGACTGATTGGTAGTTTCTTCTGTTTTCTATAAATGTAAAAAGTAATAATAATTAGTGAGGAAGTCACAGTACTTAGAACGGTGAGCATGATGAATAATTTGGCATTGATGAGAGCATTTTTTAATGAATAAACAAAAGAAATCCTGAAAGAACAGCTTTAATAACATTACTATTAATTTAACTAATGATAATTTGCTTGCCCTAGTGTATTTCCACTATCCTAGCCCTCAGCCAAAGAAATGCCTCTGTGTTTCATCAATTTCTAATTAGGCGTTTTGAATCTTTGCAGCCTCCAAACATTGAGAGTATAACCTTCCTCCTCCTCATTCCCAGTGTTTCTCATTTCCGCTCATGAATTTTCGACCATAGCAGTATTTCCATGTTACATAAACTGATTGCTGATAAATGTTGATCTTGAAATATGTTTTTTTTCTGTCTGTCTGTTAGATCTGGTAAATTTTAACATTCATTTTTTGTTAACAAGGTTTTACTGTGACAAGTTTATTGAAAATATTGCACAATGCTATCACTAGTGTCCTACAATGAGTGTCCTTAAAACTTCTAATACTTCTTTCTCTACCATTACTGCCACTTAAATAAGTTCTACATGTCATGTACCATATTGCTGAAGAGGCGTGTGGACGTCCTTTATGGGGGAATAAGGCCCTGGCCCCACCTCAGTAGACGCTCCCAGCTTAAAAAAGTAACGAGTGCCACTGGACAAACCCTGGACCTCCACACTGGTGATGCTCCCTGAGAAAAACAATGAGAGAGAGAAACCTTGTCAAGATCCACCGTTAGCTCTATAGTTTCAATTATGCCAATAATTTTTTAAGTATTCAACTCTAAAAAAGAGACACAAATACATATTACTGAAGCAAAGGTGAATAATGCATAAATCAAATATCAATATAAAATCAACATGTTTTTCATGTGCCAGGGAGCACCCACCATCCTGAGAGAGGTTTTTCCAGAAGTGCTCCGGCTCGCTGAGGCTGCCGCTGTACAAAATCCTGTAACCGATGATGATACCATTAGGCTCCAGCGGAGGGCGCCAGCTAACCAGCACAGAGGAGGAGTCCAGAGCACTCAGCTGCAGCTCCTCCGGAGGTGTGGAGGGCCCTGAAGGGGAAAGGAAGAGCGGGTCAGTAATTAGAGCCCAGAAATGAGGCCTCACAGCTGGGGAATGTATATTGTCTTGGTGGGGGATCTGACATGTTGTGTGACAACCATCTGTGTCCTCATGTCCCTGCCACCTGGGTACAGGAGAGAGGAGACATGCGGGGCATTGGGGGAATGGGCTGGGGCTCAGGTGATACACATGGTAGTGGGGAGCGTGACGGGGTGATTGGTGGTAATAATGTCATTAAGAGCGGCCCACTCAGCACCCACCACCCTCACCTCAGTGACAAGATGGAGTTGTTGGTCAACACGAGAGCCACTACTACACCTGGGGGTTTCATTCCAGCTAGTTATCAGCCATTGTTGCCAACCGCTAATTCCCATGTTCACTGGCCAGTGGCCAGCCAACACACTGATATGCACATGAGTGAGCACACATTCGCTTGCATGCCCAGACGCACTCAAGCACTCCTTCATATGCATATGCTGCACCACTTCAGGAGTCCAGACAGCAAAAACAGAACACCTTTACCTTGCTTGCTTGAGAACAAGATTAAAATAATTAAATAAAATCAGCATACGCCACCCTTTAGGTGCAGCTAATCAGCCAAAAGGTTCGAGAAACATGAATATGCACTTGAAGAACAAAAGGAAATAAATGATTTACAAGGAGCTTGAGGTGATATATTTTAGCAGACACAATGAAAAACAAATGTGTGACATATTTTTAGATGACTCAGAGGGGACAGAGTCAAAACTATATTTTGAGCTGAATGAATCTGAAAGGACCTAAAATACAGGCTCCCACTATTTCCTTTAAACACTGTTCAAAAAGAAAATGTGCACTGACCCTGTATCCTCCTTGTCTTCAAGAGGCACATTCCCACACATATCTACACCTGGTAGCTGTCCAATAGAACTGCGCTTTTCTATTTTTTGGCACAGTGTAGTTCTCCCTGAGCTGTTAAGGTTAAGTGACTTGCTCAAGGGAAATGCAATGGTTGTCAAGGAAAGGAATGATTTTTTTCTGTTTTATTTATTTTCCACCATCAGGTTCATAATAAAGGACTTGAAGTGAATTGTCTAACCCTACATGAGTCAGAACACTCACACCTACTGTGGATATACTGCTGATTACTCGTAATCAGCAGACTATCTAAAACCTGCAGGGGAATCTCGGTGGAGACTCACGGTCAGACAGAGTGGACTCCTCCACAGTGCCACTGAAGGGTCCTACCACGTCCACTCCATTAGACTGCACTGCCAGCTCATAGCGGGTGAAGGGCCTCAGTGCCCCGAGCAGAATCTCCTGCGCAGAACTGCAATACACGAGCATGGGAAAGGACTTAGGTACTCTCTGTGCTGACAGAAAAAATAACTGCGAAATATAGTATATAGTATATAATATGACCAATTATATCGGAACAATATCTCATCTCTCGAAGCAAGATCATATCATTTATTTAATAAAGATGTTAATTTCATTGGAGTTTAAAGTGTACAATTATAGGAGAAAACTTTAAATAGGGCTTTGCAACATAGACTGTATAAAAGATGGTCGTAGCAACCGGCCCTGAAAAATTAAGCCAACCCAGAAGTGTCAAAAACCTTCAATATCACTACGTCCACTAGCTGCTGGCTCCAAAAAGCCCTGGCTCCCATAGAAATGAATTGGAAAAGAAGTGATCACAGATCAGGAAATACCGCATTCCTACAGCTCAGGATTTTTTTCTTATTAGTTTTCATAATCAAATCCAGAGATCAGGTGGCCAATCTGAAAATAAATCAATACTGAATTTATAAAAAATCGTCAACATTTTCGGGGCAAGGGGCGTGGCTGCTTGATTGACAGTCGGCAGTGACGATGCAGGAGGGCCCGCCTCTCAATCCGTCTGACCAATCACTGCTCCTATGGCTCCGCCCCCCTCCGACGATTTTTGCGTCACTGGCTCCAAAAATCCAAGATGTCAACCAGGAAGTAGCAAAACCCTGGCTTCATTTTCTCAGTGCAGAAACCAACGGGTGACGTCACGGTAGCTACGTCCATCTTTTATACAGTCTATGCTTTGCAATGAAAACACTGATACAAAAAGAGTTATCCAGGATGCAGTACTGTATGAATGTTGACCATAAATGTTTATTTTGTGCCATCCAGGGCCACTATTTCTTATACATTACAGGCATGATTAGGTTTCTGGTATTTTGCCTGATGTCCTGACCTGGTGTGATAGGAGACCAGCGATGCGTTGGTGGTTCCTGCCGGGCTGCAGCGCACCGTGTAGTTGATGATGCGTACGTTGCTGAACCGCGGTTTCTCCCAGCGCAGCCAGATGGACGTGGAGCTGTTGGCCGTGGCTTGGATGCTGCTTGGCGGCAACGGAGGCGGGCGTAAGGGCAGCAGCAAAGCTTTAACACACAAGTACATGTTACTTCCCTTGAATCTTGGAAAATGTAAACATCATTATTATTACTCGCCACTCTATAAAAATGATAGAGTTCAGGATGTAAACATGTGTTTCATTCACTTATTTATTCATTCATTTATACATCCACACATGCATAAAGAGGTCTTACTTCTGTTATGGGCCTTGTCTGTCCTTCCCTTCCACACTGCAGCTGCTCCATCTATCTGCTTATTGAATGCCCAAACCTTCACCTCATACTGCCGGTCAGGGACTGACACAAACAGAAATAAACAGAGACAGAGGGAGACGGAATGACGTTCCAGCCACAGTCAGTTAGAATATGCTTTCAGTGATTTGTACTTGTTTCCCGAAAACCACAAATAGCAAATGTTCTACTACCTGCAACCAAATGCTTCAACTTAAGAGACTGTTTTTGAATGAAATGTTCAACCATTCATTTTTATTTTGCAGAAAGGTTTCTCTTCTTTTACTTTTCAAAATAGCTGTAATACACCACTATCTGCCAAAGACAGCTGTACTTTATTTGTTTAAAAAAAAAAAAAAGAAAAAAAAGATGACTCCTTTTTCCATTTTTCAAAAACGTAGATAAAAGCAAGGTTAGAAAAGCATGGACAAGGTGCTTCGTCATTGCATTTGGAGAGTTCTCTTGTCAACAACTTACCCAGGCCAGTGAGTAGATGATACCTTGCCTTCTTACGTAGCCTGATGGTGTGGGTCTGTGTTGTCCTTTCCCCGTTGGCAGATTCGTCAACCTCCACCTCTCGACAGGACAGCTTGTAACCAGAGACCAGCGTGTGATTGGGTGAGGGATGCCATGTCACATTGAGTGTGCTCACTCTGGCTCTGACTTTCAGCTCAGTAGGAGCAAAGATCACTGGAAAAGATTGTGAAAGGAAAAATTATTCTAACCGCCAGACCTTCAGTCCAACTATATATCGACCTGATGGCAATGATCACTGCCTAAATCCTTACAGTACTGCTGCTGGCTGATATGTCATCTTACATGTGTGCAATAGCAGCTCACATTCAGTTTGTCTGTACTTCAGTGTACAAGCTTTACATTAATTATGAGCCTCCCAAGCAAGGAGGGAGCACAGCTGTTGAAGGTTGGACTTCAGAATTAAAATTAAAGTTACATTTTTCAGACACGCTGCGCTGTAACAGCATTATATTGCTGCAGCTTGGCAAACCAATAACTTCTGCAATGAGTCACTACTGTATCTAAACAAAAGGTGTGATGCATTTATAATTGAGAACAATGAAGAAATGAACTAGCTTTGCTGACAAAGAAAATATCACCATACAGCTTGAATAATATGTAGAAAGCAAAACAATAAGAACTGAAAGAAAAACAAACAAACAAGTGATTCTCGTTATGTTAAATGTGAAGTGGAGATCACTATCAGTGTTCAGTCATACTGTAAAGTCTAACCTGCATTTTCCATTTTTAACAACAGACACCATCACTTTAAATTCTACACTGAAGCGTATAACGCCGATCATCTCGTTACAAGGCAATGCTCTTCTGGTAAACGTGGGTCAAATGCTCTTTTGACATGGACCACACACCTAAACATCGCTGATGAACAAACACGCCCCTGTTGCCAGCCGTGTCCCCCAGCAGGAAGATCTGGCTTATTACACTGCAAAAACTGCTCATGAATGGCTCGAGGAACTTGACCAACAGTCCAAGTCGTGAATCTAGTCTCCCTCCCAACCCACATGACCCAAAGGATCCACTGCCAACATTCTGATGCCAGGCACCACAAGACACCCCGAGAGGTCCCGTGTGTATGGCCTGATAGGTCCGAGCTTTCTGGCAGCATGAGGGGTAACTACACTATAAGAAAAAGAATAATGCAGCTGACTGGTGTACAAGACAGTCTAAATAGCATATGTTTACTAGGTGACTAAATGGTCAGTTAACATAAAGGACTCTATGTTTCTTGTCTTGATCATAGTTTTCAAAAATTCCTGTCACTACCACATGACCAACAGGAGTCCTGAATAAAACAAAACAGAAATTCTTAGGATGAAACAAATGCAAAGTGAGTCCAGTGCAGTGTCTTCCTTACCCATGCTGTGGTCACTGTGGTTGTAGTGGGCTAATGTTTGGTGCTGGGCCCACTCAGAAGGAACCCCAAAGCCAATGCCAGTTCCAGCTGCTATCCTCAGTCGGTAAGCCTGGTTGGGCTGCAGCTCTCTCAGCGTAAACTGCGTCTCATTTCCCCCCACCTCCACTGAGAACACAGCACCCACTGTGGCAACACACAACAGGCACATTTATGTATACATATCTACTAATGAGGTATCTCTTCTTTCTGATGTTCTGAATGTCTTTTTTTTTTTTTTTTTAGAAGAAAACACACAGCTGTATTCTTTCTTGGAAAGGATGATTCAACATATCATTTGTATTACAAATGTTCTGTTTCTGTGGTAATTCATGTATAACGCAGTCTCTCAGGGACAACCTGTTAAAAAGCTCCATTGAGAGTGAGCTTGAAATCCCCGTGCATTCTGGAGAGAAAAGCACTCAGAACACAGCTCTGCCGGGCCAGCGCACTTGTGCATTCTATAAATTAAATTAACCCTTTCGTACCAGTTCTGTACTCTTAAATCATTATGATCTATATTTTAGAACTATAACAAGAACTGTGAGCAAAACAATAACAGTCCAAGTTCTGCCACTGTGCCTACAACATACCTACCTCACTTTTTTATTTTGAATATTTTGGAAAGAACTCATTATAGAAAAACTGAGAGCAAACAGCATAAAAACGTTAAAACAGTACAGCAGATATGGCCAACCACGTCAAGCATTCAGGTAAAGTAGACTGTTGATGCTTGTCCCTTTCTACACACTTAAGCCAAAGCTAATATTTCCTCGAGTAGTCTCAGCATGTCATAAAAATGTTTTTCACTTGTTGTCAGTCATGGCCAGCAGGGGTTACTCACTCTGATCCAAAGTGCTGTACTCAATGCGATAGCGGGTAACAGCTCCTCGGCTGTGCTGTGAGGATAGTGGATGCCACATCAGCCTGATGTCTGTGGGGGAAGTGCTGGCTATAGACAGCTGAGGAGGTGCACTCGGCACTGAAGGAATGAATAAAAAAAGACACAGTGAGCTGTCTGATGATGCACATTCAAGGCCCTTCCTATAGAACCTCAGAGTCACTGAACAAAAGTGTGTCTCTAACTATTTCATATTTCGTAAAACTTTAAATCAGTGTGTACTTAAAGAATTATCCAAGGCTTGCTGCATTTACGTGGTGATTCTAGAATATAACCGAATGTGAACTCTCAATTAGATTTTGAGGCTGGAAGCAAAAATGCTCAGTTCAGTCTCCAGTGTGCTACTTGCACTCCTTTTTAAATGACTACTCTGATACTGATGATTCACAAGCTCTTAAAAGTGATAAAAGAGTTACGCAGTAAAAATGTTTTCTCTCTGGGTCAGTGACGAATCCCAGGCTGGCCTTATTTTACCTGAGTGGCCTTATTTCATCTCTGTAGCCTCATTTTACCTGCGTACTCGTTTTTATTACTCACCATCCTCCAGCATCTCTACAGTAACAGGCAGGGATGGGCGGCTGGCACCCATGGGAGAGTAAGCCACCACAAAGAACGTGTAGGCAGTATGAGGGAGAAGCTCTTTGACGAGATACTCTGTGGTGTCATTGTTCATCGCAAATTGATACTCCACATTATCGGAGCCTGAAAAGGGATGACAATATTCAAATCAATTACTTTTTCTTTTTTTTCCCCCCTGAAATATGGACACACTTACCATATGTCTGCACACACACACACAGACTAATAAAAAGAACACACCTGCAGCGCGTTGGCAGTGCACAGAGTAGCCGATGATTTGGTCCGAGTTGTACTCAGGTTTCTCCCACGTGAGCAGGGCAGTTGTGCTGGAGTACGGTGTAGCAGACAGGTGGCGAGGAGGGCTGGGCAGACCCTCCCTCACAATGACCGTCAGCTTGGCAGTGGCACAGGCCGTGCCAAGTCCATTGTCTGCTATGCACTGGTAGTAGCCCGCATCCTCCAGAGCCAGCTGGTTGATGAGCAGGACTCCAGGGTTTTGGGTCTTCACTCGTCTGTATGACTTGATCGGCTGGCCATTCTTCAGCCAGTGCAACACTGGAGGAGGCTCCCCAGAGCTGTTGCACAGAAACCGAGCTGTGTTTCCCCGAGAGAGCGACACCGTCTCTGGGGGCTGAAGAATCACTGGAGGGGCTGTTGGGAGTTGGAAGCAAAAGTTTGAGTTGCGCAACATGAAATTAAAGGGATACTGAAAATATTTTGTGTGAGACGGATTATACAAAATAAGTAGGTCAAAACTGAGGTAAAAACACATCCTGACTTTCAGTTTTATCTTGCACTTCCCTTTATTCAACACAATACAATCTTCCTTTCGATCTTACTAGCCTGGTAAATGCCATATCTCACAAAGTTCACACCTGCCAGTTTTTAACAAAGAGTACGTGTTAAATGTTTCCAGCTCAAATTAAGATAACTCAAGGAATGTCACGTGAAGCCCCAGCAGAGACGCAGAAGACATTAAAAAACTGCTTTCTCAAACTAAGTAGATCTGACTTATGAAGTGACTTTAATACGAAGAATTGTTTCTTTAAATAAAAAAATATTGTATTTTTAAGCCTGAATCATTTCCAGAAGGTAGAACGTAACAAGTTCAGTATCTTAAGTTCTGCATTTTTCTCTGTCAAGTTGCCATCTTGTCATAAAATCAGAATCATCAGTTTAGCATTTTCGTACATATGTGCCACAGAGAATGATCGGATGTTCACTGCTTAATTGTACCAATTTGTCAACCAACACATTAGCAGAGGGATGATAGGAAGCCAAAGTCATGAGAGGCAGATGCAAAAGGACTCAACAAGTAATGTTCCAGTTAATCATTAGCTTTTTAACCCCAAAGTGACATTCAGCTCTGGATTTATTACAGACAAATGGCTCATTGCGTTATAAAATAATCTAACTTCTATGTATAGATGGGAGTAACCTGCAGGACATAACACATTTACTCACACAAATTCCATTACATTAGATTTGACAGAAACTACTCTCAATTAAACAGCTCTAACAAATGTCTAACTTGTCATTAGATACCAAACATTACACGACTCTCACCAGGCACATGCAGCTCCGCGGCAGCAATGACAAACTCTCTGGTCTTGGGCTTGTTGGCCCGGCAGACGTAGACGCCGGCGTGGTGACGCCTCGTGTCCCTAATCACCAGGTTTGTTGCGAGGACAACCACATCAGTGGAAATGGGCTTTCCGTCTGATCAAAGCAGAAAGCAATGGAGGACATCAGACGACGGCCCCACATCACAGAGATGGGAAAAAAAAAAAAAAGGAGACTGGCCTTGAGAAAAGTGGAGATCATTTCTCAGGCTTTCAGATGCCTGAGCAACAGCACAAAGGAGAGAGAAAGCACTTGAAACAGCAGGGGATTTGACCTGTAATCACACAGACTGACCAACAGGTGGCTCTGTGACTTTTCAGTCTGAGTTCACTGAGGCGTCTGCATTGGCACACTCCTAAGCTGTGTGTGAAATCATTCACCATTCACTATATAGACCCCTATTTAGTTTGTCCGCCATTTTGAGGAGTGAGTATTTTCCACAGAAAATCTTCATCACCCCCAAATCTCACTAAACAAACATGCAGCGAAACCACGGGCAAGAGATGTTAAGTAATCAAGCACCAATTACCGCTTTGCAGTTGTCATGACCTGAATAGTTGAGTGCAGTTTTCTTGCAAAGAATTCCCTGCATAGCGAAAGGTTATGTGTGAATGAGTGCATCATTTCAAAAGCAGTAACTACACTCCAAAAAACTGCAGAGAGGTTGCCAAATCACAGGGTGAGAAACAACTTCCACATGACATAATTTCCACCAAGATTTCACAAGTGTGTGTGTGGGCGTGTGCGCGCGTGTTTGCGTGTCAGAGCTGTGGAGGTGCGAATGAATCGATGCGTCAAATAATCTTACGTAAAGTGCAGCCCAAAAACACAATAGAACAGCTGAGAAGAGACAGCGACTGTCAGTGAAACAGCTACAGGTACCGCAAATCCGATCCTGACGCGCTGATGTTTGTTCTTTGTGTGTGAGAGGCAGATAGGAAGAGAGAGACACAGATAATGAAAATGTGACAGATGCAATATAAGAGGAAAACAAATAGGCTGGGAAGCAAAGAGAGAAAAAAAAAAAAAGCAAGGAAGAACATTTGTGGTATTACCTTGTCTGCTCCAGGATACCAGTGGTTTTGGCTGGCCTTGTGCCATGCACTCCATCACGGCGGGATGGCCGAGCACAACTGTGGCATTCTGAGGTGGCGCTACGATCACAACTGTGTTCAGGGCTTCAGCGGAGCCTATCGCAACAAAAGAAGTATATGCTTTGGTGTTTTGATCAGGAAAAAATTAGGCAAGTCGGTGCTGAACCCGCTGACTGAATGAGCCGTGCTACCATCCAGATCCTGGGTTTCAGATTGCAGAGCTTTGCAGATTTTGCAGCAATCTAAATACTTTATTATTCAACAATGAAGTGAAACAAAAGGGTAGTTCAAAAATAATTTAAAGAAAAAAAAAAAAGAGGAAACATTGATTTTGGACACTAGTTGCACAATCACAGCAAAAACTATCCTGTTGCAGACCGGCAGTTAGCATCTCATGCAAAGACTTCAAATGCTAATTGTCACGTACTGCAAAAACCCTGCACTGTATCCTATTTGCAACTTAGCTGGAGGAAAGAACAGGATTTATAAAGCTTTGGAGAATGTCTTCAAAGGAACTGTCTGTGACTCATGAGGTAGATGACTTTAACACCAATACAGGCCCTGTAGCTATAGTACTTCATGGAATCTGGCTTAGGCTCAATAAACTATGACTTAATGGTGGCTGTGGACATGATCCTTCATTTACAGACAACAGACATAATGTGCAAAACCAGAGATGAACCATAAACCAAATGGCTGACTGAGGGGGAAATGGTTAAACAGAGAAAGGAGGTGATGCTTCTAAAACATAATGACCAGGAGGAGAAAAAAAAAAAGAGAACACACAAAGAAAAAATGCTTCTGTGAGCGGAAAAAAAAAAGGTAAACCATTAAGTCAGTTAATAGAACGGCCTCAGTGATTGAACTGAGGAACACCTCTCCTCTTCAGTGACAAAGCAGTTATTCAAAGTGTATTGTTTATGAGTTGAAGGGACGCTCATTTCAGGAGTGTATCAGTCCCCATGGTACAGCTGGTGTGAGTGGGCCTTACTTCCCTGCAATTCTGCTCAGCCCACAGCCGCTCATAATGCTAATGATCTCAGGAAAGAGGCCTGGCATTCTGTAAACACATTATAAATTAATCATTGAGATTACATACAGCAAACCTTGGTTATGCATAAGCTTTTAAGTGGGTCAGTCTGCCTTTGCCAGGACTGCACTGCAGGGTGCGCCTTTATAAGGGCCTTGTGTGCAGTGTAAAGCAAAAAAAAATAAGAAAGCGGGTGAAGTAAAAGAAAAAAAATGCAAGCGATTGTAGATTTGAAAGAGGCCGAATGTTTCACATTTTCTATTTTCTACCTCCTCTGAAGTTAAATATGTGATTTGATGACTTTGAGATCAACCTGTCAAAGCTTGGCTGTGGGTGTTGAGGTATTCTATTCATAGAAGTGAAAGCAAGTGAAGTGATGGCATTAGATCTGACGCCTGCTTCATGCAGTGACTCTTAATAGAGTCTTAAGTAGTGTCCTTCTTGAGTTGCATGACAGCAGCAAGGCCACTGGGGGAAACATATTTTTCTTGTTTTCGCTGCAAGTGTGAACATTCTATCTATCTATCTATCTATCTATCTATCTATCTATCTATCTATCTATCTATCTATCTATCTATCTATCTATCTATCTATCTATCTATCNTCTATCTATCTATCTATCTATCTATCTATCTATCTATCTATCTATCTATCTATCTATCTATCTATCTATCTATCTATCTATCTATCTATCTAAAAGACTAACATAAAAATAATAGGCTCTAGACTTGAAATGTTGCTGCAACAACCTTGTGAAAGTGAATGTTCTGTATCTAATCCACTTGCTTTGGCCTTTGTCTGTTTCTCCTCGTCTTTCTTTTTGTTTTTCCCTTTAAAAGAAACACTGGCTGTGACTAAAAAGGAACACAAAGGTTTCCACAGAGCAGCCAATTAAAGTTGACTGGTCTCTAGCTAGCTAGTGACAGAGGCAGATAATACAGCACGGCTTTAAAGTGGGACTCCTAATGGCAGAATCACACCTCATGATGCTCGTCACTGACTCACTGCACCATGTAATCCACTAACGCAAGTATTTTGCAGTCATCGTGGGACTCTGAATAAAGACGGAGAGGTTTATGCTGATAGTAGAAAACTCAAGGCAGTATATTGAAGTATATGTTCATTCTTCTTTAAACAGCATCACTTATTGAATTGAATTTTTAGCACAGTGGTACATTATTTAGAAAAAAATATAGAAATTGTGTTTATTGAATAGCGTAATTTAGATGTGATTACTTATCTGTGGTATCAAGAAATGTAGTGATTTCTATCATAATACATTGAGGTAAATTATTTAAACCAATTAATCCGTTTTCCCCACAGTTCAGCAGCAACTTATGAGAATTGCATAACAAGATTTTTTATACTCGTATTTAGTCAGTGAGATCCATCCCTGAATCATTTGCATTTCTCTTACAGAGCAGGGAAAATAAGCTTTTATCAGTGACTGACAAGATGAACAAAACATCGCGCCAGACACGTATGGCAGAGTACATTAAAAGTGTCAGCCCAATGTCAGCAGCTATATAGAAGGTGACTATAGTGAGTGAATACTCAGAGAAGAGAAGTTTCCTGACACTGTATGTACGGCAAATTAATTCTGAAGGACAGGCAAAGCAAATATACAGCAATTTAATACACAACGTAAGCTTAAAGTGCTTTACATAATGGGCATGCTTTTAATAAGACAACCTAAGTATCAGACATCGATTCAAACCAGCCATTTTTTCTATGAACCCATAAACAGTGATTTGAATTAAAAAAATATTCGACACTGTGATAAACATCACTCCATTTCAAAACATGTTTTTATCTGCTGCCTAACTTAGAAGCAATTTAATATTCAAACGTTCTGCTCTCACATTTCCAGCTACCGAAATCAGATGAATTACATAAATGATCAACACGATGATCAAGTGATTCTGTTTGTTTCTTATAGATGCCGCACATCATGTTCATTCCTTTCGGGTTATATTATATTATTTTATTGTAGGAATTTAGACATAGATTGGTGAGGTGAAGTAATACAGACTATAATACTGAATAATAAGAGTAAAAAATACATTTATAAATATATTCTCAGCAAGAACACGTCCAATTCACTTTATTATAAACGTAGTGGTGGTTGGAAGTTTGTGAACTCTTCACAACTTCCAATATTTCTGCATAAATATGACATCAAACACCATCAAATTTCTGTATAAGTACAAAAGGTAGATAAAGAGAACTCAATTAAACTCATGAGGCAAAAAACACTAGAATTTTTTTACTGAGCAAAATTATCCAATAATACGTTTTCAATGAGTGGAAAAGCGATGTGCACATCTAGAACTAGTAGTTAATTTGAAAGGTAAAATTAGAATCAAGTGTTTTCAGTCAGTGGGTTGACAATCAGGCATGAGTGGAAACTTCACTTTATTTAAAGAACAAGGGTTTACTAAGGTCAGGCATTCGCTTGATTCCTGAGGACCTCATAAACGTAGTTGTTGATGTTCATCAGAGCCGAAAAGGTTACAAAACCACATCTTAACAGTTTCACCAATCTACAGTAGGACAATCTGTGTGCAAATAAAGTATATTCAAGACGGTTGCTACTCGACCCAGGAATGGTTGACCAACAAAGATCACTCCAAGAAAAAGGTGTGTGATAGTCTGTGGTCAACAAGGAACCAAGGTTGATGCTTAGGTTTGTGAATCTATCATCAGGAGACATTCATCAGCAACGGTGCACGTGGCAGGATTGCAAAGAAAAAGCTGTCGCTCTCTAAAAAGAACATTGCTGCCTATCTGCTGTTTGCAGACAAATACGTGGAAATGCCAGATAGCTATTAGAAAAAAAAGAATAGTTAAAGGATGAGTGTTACATTTGGAGAAAGACAAAGCAGTACACTCCAGCATAAGGGTCTTGTCCTGTGTTTGAAACACGGTGGTGGTAGCATCATGATTTGAACTTGTTTAGCTGCATCTGGTCCAGGATGAATCGTCAGCATTGATAGAAACATGGATTCTGAATTTTACCAGCTATTCTAAAGAAAATGTCAGGACATCAGTGAATAGTCAATAGAGCCCCGCAGAAAGATGAAAACACCTCTAAGTCGCTCTATCACAGACTGATTACAGAGCAGTAAAATTAATATGATTACATTAATGCCACGAGCAAATATGTAAAAGTGGATCATTTTCTGACATTAATAAATTAAGTATCATATATTTGTCTCATTTGCTTAATTGGGTTCTCTTTATATCCAATCACAACTTGTGTGAAAATCTGTTGACCGCATTTATGCAGACATTTCTAAAGGATTCACAAACTTTCAAGCACCGCTGCATATATAATGCATTCAATTATAATGTATCTTTAAAGCCCATGCCACTCAAACGTGCTTCACTTGGGTGTCTGACCTTCACTGAGCAGAATGATGTAGGTGCGGTTTGACACTAGAAGGCTGTTTTGTAATTCATCTGCTGAAGGTGGAAAGTTTCTCTGCGTTCACCTTGAGACGTGCACCATCGTGATTTCGTGACATCACATAAAATACAGGAGTCAATCACGGCTCGGTGTGCATATACAACTTACAAACGCATTGAATTATGTCTCGTAGGTACAATTTTCAACAGAACAGTTTCTGGATTTTAAAAGTAAAGGACATGGAGTAGATTTTATGTGGAAAAACTGTATGTGAAGGAATTATTTAAAGCTTAAAACTTGCCTGGAAGGAATCTTTAAGTGTTATAGCAACCTTTTACTTTGATGGTAATGTTTAGTTTGGAAATAATAATGTTTAAAATTTGAAATAAACATGATTAATATAATTATAAACCCACACAGACTACACAAGAAAATGGGTAGATGTATGTTAAGCATATTGTCCTAAAACTCACATTAGAGACGGGGCTGCCAGCTCCCAGAGGTGCCTGCCTGCATATTCAAACACAATAAAGAACCACAAGAGACCTCACCTGTGGAGACAGTGAGCCTGGCTTCATGACTGATGTCCTTTCTGGCAGAATTGGACGCGACACAGCGGTAGACGCCCTCATCCTCCTTGGTCACCTCCAGAATCTGGAGCACCCCGTTAGGAAGGGAAATGAACCTGTTATAGACAAGGCAGTAACAGAGGAGAGGTAGCAGAGGGAGAAAAGATTACGAAGGAGAATGAGCAACAGAAAAAAAATGGCTTAGTGCCCTGCAGCATGAAGTATCCAGCTGATCGACTCTGCAGGGATCCTGTGGGGTCCTCACACGGCATCCGTCTTTATTCAGGAGAGTGACTTTTTGTGTACAGTCACTACAAAGCATCCTTCTTCATACATGTCAAAGTTGTTTTCTTGGCAAAGGCAAGACCTTGAGATTCACACAATCCCCAAAATGCAGTATGCAAAAGCAGTGACACATTTGTGTGTATTTTTTCCCATACAAGGTAAATTTGTATTGTTGACGTTATCATGTGTGCTCTAATCGTACATATCACCACTTCTCCCTCTGCTGCAGAGGTCACATTTCATACATATTACTCCTGGTCTGCAAGCCAGACCCCCAGGGCCCGGCAATGTAATGCCATCCCACCTCTTATCACTTTTATCATGACCTATTAATCCAACCAAAATGTGGTTAAGGGGGAAAAGAAGTGGAGCGAATGTGAATAAAAAAAAGAGAAAGAGAGGGATTATAAATGCAGACAGTAGATAGGGAAAAAACAAAGAATAAAAAGAGATAATGAGAGGACGACGGAAAGCAGTGAATGAAGAGAAAACGGAGATAGAAGCGTAACAGAAATAGAAGCGGATCGGGGATAATAGCAAACAGAAAGAGCAAGAGATGGCAGAGGCTTTAATAGAGAGAAAAAGGCACATTAAAGCAGGAGAGAAGGGAGAGAAAGAGAATCGCCAGTGATATATCAGCCATCCTTTGGCTGATTTTTGCGAGAGGCCATTAACGGCGCCTGAGGTGGGAGAACCACATCCCACCAATAAGACCTTATAAGCAGCAAGCTGTTTGCAGGTCATGCGGGGCTACAGCAGCCATTAACACTTAGCCCGGTGCAATAAGGCCGGAAACATATTCCAGGGCCAGTAGAGCCACAGTGAAATGTCAATATTGTTAAGTGGCCCAGTAAATGAGAATATTTGTGAGAGAGAACTGACAGAGAGAGACCTGTCGAGGATGTGGCCACAGGCGAATACTTTGAAATGTGTTTTTCTCTCCGTGTTGTTTGTTTTAAACTCAAGGTGACTCTTCAGTGCTTTTCTTATAGTGACTGAAATCCTGAAATTCTACTTTGAACATAGTTCTGCTCTTAGACTTTTATCTAATCCAAACCAAGCCGGCACAATTACCGTAAGGTTACACAACAAAGTAGAAGTCCTTGGCCCATTTTGATGCTTGTAGTTTTTAAACATGGACTACTATTGACCCTTTATGACGAACAAACAACTTCTTCTTCTACTAACAACAGCATTAGGGGAATTTATATTTTAAAAAAAAGACTGGTCACATTTTCACCTTAAACATATGAAGCATACGAACCAAAATGCACATTTTTTGTATTGAACAACAAAGGACGGAGCTGAATGGGATTCTCCAGATGAACAGATAGCTCCATACTGTTGTTATCAGATGAACTGGAGGACTTCAACAGTGCTACCGGTTATGATAAACTGAAACTTTCCAATTTAAATCCAGATCAGACTCTATATATACTACAGTGTTTTATATTGCATTCACTTCGGTGCACTTGTACTAAATCCACTGTAAACTATCAGCAAAACTAAAGCATGTACACATTGCTACATTGCTCATTCATCAATACACTTTACAAGAGTATTTAAGATACAGAGAGAAGACAAAGGATCACAACAAAACACAGTGGGGTTACCTTGTCTCCTCAGGCACAGCCTCTTTGTCCCTTTCCCAGGTAATAACAGGTGTGGGTACTCCATCAATCTGACACTCAAAGCGGGCAACTCCCCCGGTGGGCACAGTTTGGGGTGATGGCTCCTGATGGAACTTAGACAGACCTGGGGACCCAGAAATAATAAAGACAAACGGGTTATTTGTCAAAGCAGAATGGGTGATATGCTGGTGGATGGACACATACGATGACCCATATCTAAACTACTGCTTGTGCAATTAACCTTTCTTTAATGATCTGACATTGGTACGTCCACCTCTGGTAGGACAAGCAGGAGACAGTTTGTTTGATGGCAGTCACACCTGACGTAACAGACTGTTCAGTTATTTTGAAGCCATAAGCTCCACAGTTCCCTTTCCATTAGACTTCACATGCACTACATTAAACATACCAAGTAGACCTAATTACATGTGTTGCAAAATCATTGTGGTTGAGGCAAAAGGGGGTCTGAACGCTAATTGCCGGCTCAAGCCTTAACACTAAACAAACAGAAACGACCCTACCAATTACCCCACTCACACGGTTTGTTTCAAGAGCCTAATTAATATGTTAGTTTTTTTTTAAATTTTTTATTTTGTTGACTTTAAAGAGCAGCTCGGGTGAGTCCAGAATCATATGCAAATGACACTTCTGCAATCTGTATTTCACAGACTTCAGGTTTTTGTACTGATGCTATTTTAGGGCTTTTAAAGGTGCCGTTTTAATTTTTTGTAATTTAATTAAAGACTCATTCACACCATTTAAATACCCTTGAATGTCCTGATTAGGAGAAATTTGGGGATTTAATCAGGCTTGGCTCGATTATTTCTCTCTCCAGGTCGACTCTTGGCAGGTCTCCAATTTTCACAGCCTCCAAACATTCACACACAAGGGAAAGCTTCCTTCTGTAGGTAATGCTGAGCACCAGGGGGCAGCAGGGAGTCCCGTCTGAGGGCCTCTGACCTCTGACCCCAACAGGCTGTTGGAAGAGAGAACAAAACAGGCTGGCTGTCCCAGCCACTTTGCCTGTAGCCCTGACTGAGAAGTAGAGAGTGGGGGTGGATCAAAGGAGAGAGCAGAGAAAGAAGACGGAGAAGGCAACCAAAGGCAGGAAAAAAGCAGGAACATAACAGAGAACAAGGAAACTTCAGATCCCAAATGACTTAACCGGGCTAGAAAATGAAAAGAGTACGGAGCTACTTCAGCCAAATTCTAGATTGTAAAACATTTTAGACTAAAGTTAATTGTACTTAAGTTTAAACAAGTCTCCAGGATGGCCTTCTTTCACCTGCACAAAGTTATGCTTGAAAACTATTCCATGCATTTGTTACCTCTAGGCTGGGCTATTGTTCTGCCCCAATAACTATGACAAGCCTCCTGTTGGTCCAAAACGCTGCAGCCAGAGTGCTGACAGAAATAAGCAAGAGAAATCTTACTTCTCCCACATTAGCCTCTCTGCATCCAGAATCCAGAACAGAGTTTAAGATCCTTCTCCTCACATGCAAAGTTCCTAATGATCACGTCCCATCACGGTGTCCCATTATCCCAAAAGAACACTTTGTTCTCTGAGTAATGGCCCATTTGTGGTTCCTTGAGTTTCCAAAAGCGGAATGGGCAGCAGAGCCTTCAGCTATCAGGCTCCACTCCAGTGGAACCAGCTCCCTGTTTGGGTCAGGAATTAGAACTCAGGTGACCATGCATCATGTCTTAATTATGCTGCCATATGCCTCCTCTGCTGGAGGACCTCCCATGATGCACTGAGCAGCACCTCTTCTTCCCTCTCCTCTATTTCACTCTCAATGCATTTATATGCCACTATTGCATGTCATTAACTTTATGTCTTCCCTCTGTCATAGTTTGTGCTTTGTCCTCTCTGTCCTCTCTCTCCCTGCACCTTCCTGCAGGTGTCCTTGGCTCCAGAGCTGCATGTTTCTCATCTGCTGTTACTGGATATTATTTGTTGTTTCTTGCTCGTCTTTTCTCTCCACACTCTCCCCTCACCAAGGCCTATTGAGGCAGATGTTTTTGCCACCCTGAGTCTGTTCTGCTGAAGGTTTCTTCCTGTTAAAAGGGAGTTTTTTTCTCCCCACTGTCACCAGGTGCTTTGGTTTCTCTCTCTAAAATATTGTAAGGTCTTGACCAGACTATGCGACTTAACACTATGTCTATAACATGGATTTTTTTTTACTGAATTCAACTAACACCACACAGTTTTTATGTGAAGTGAAATGTAACAAAATTCTAAATTAAATAATGCACCCAGCTGCCAATCAGTCCTCCTCTCTCCTCTCTTTCTCCACGTGGACATAATCACACAACTGATTCAGACCACATACGTGCAGCCTGAAAATGTCAATGTTTTCCAGCAGTGCTAAACACATAAATCCATCCATCCATCCATCCATCCATTAACTATACACCGCTTAATCCTCACTAGGGTCGCGGGGGGGCTGGAGCCTATCCCAGCCAACTTAGGGCGAAGAAAGGGGACACCCTGGACAGGTCACTAGTCTATCACAGGGCCACACTTAGAGACAGACAACCACATTCACACCTACGGACAATTTAGAATCACCAATTAACCTCAACATGTTTTTGGACTGTGTGGGAGGAAGCCGGAGAACCTGGAGAGAACCCACGCTGCACGGGGAGAACATGCAAACTCCACACAGAAAGATTCCGGTGCCCCCACCGGGACGTGAACCAGCAGCCTTCTTTCTGCGAGGCAACAGTGCTACTAACCCCACATAAATCCTCCTTTATTAAAAATTTACAAATGTGTCTGTAGTTTTCTATAATGTTCTGAAGCTGCATATCCAACACTTACACCTACTTTGTTCTGTGTGCATTTCAAAAACACTCTCTTGAACAACCCTCCAATCTATTTTTAACACAATTAGTTCAGTCACTTTTCACCAAAGTAGCCAAATGCAACGCTACAAATAATTTCCAGGAGGGACTGCCTTGGTATATTTAAATAATATTGCATCTCCACTATCTTGCTGATTTTGACATTGCATAAAAAGAAGCTATATGTGAGAATAACCTCACGCTCACACCAAAATGCTGGAAAAAGTGAAATTGTGACCTGATGAATGGCATCAGTTGAAAGGTTCCGTTCAGATTTTTTTTTTTTCTGAAGTAAATGAATGTATGTACCCAACTGCATGGTGTTTCATTCAAACGTTATTGAGAAGTTAAACTCAAAACGACAAATGTCAGCTTCATAATGGTAATGGAGCAAAGTCAGGAGATCCCTAGAGTCATTAAATCATCTGGTAATATTGAATGGCTATACACAGCTTTCAGATGAGTGCGTGCATGGGTGTATTAGTGAAAACCTTTGCTGCTTGATAAAATTCAAGGAATCTCAAAAGTTGTCAGAATTCCTCCTCTGGGCACCAGATGTATCAAATTTTGTGGGACCTGCCTAAACAAAACCTGTCACAACAATTCAGAAAAATAAAACTAGTATTAATCTGCTGGTGTCACGCGAGATAAACTCAAGGAAGTGACCAAAGTCAATAGGCTTAATGAATGTCTGTACAAACTGTCCAGTACATCCACTCGACAGTGGGCAAGACATTTCAGTCAGGATCAAAGTGAATCACAGAGAAGCATTCAGCTGCCACACAGACTGACATTTCCATCCATTGATCCATGCCACAGAATGGCCACGAAGCTGTATAAGATTGGAGTCGCACTGGGATGCCAATAGAATTTAAACAATGACAACTATGAAAGGATGTTCCAAGTGGAGAGCCTGGTGTCAGCACCTAAGTCTGCCTCTGCTTTGACATAAAACTAACAAGAAGAGCCCTTTTCAGAGGCGGATGCTTCAAATATGCAGCCAATCTCAAGACTGCCTCAAGATTTCCATAACTCGAGCCTCGAGCTTTTGCTCCAAACCACTGTAAGCTGGAGGAGACTCTCCAAGAACACCCTAACCTCGATCACACCAACTGTTAGTTATGGCAACAGACTGGCCATCTGTGTTTTCCTGCTCGCGCCGAGGGAACAAAGTTTCTCAATGAGCACACAGAGGCTGACACATACATGCTCGGTCATAGTAGCAGCAAACATTTATTTCATTTCAGGAAAAAAAAAAAAAACTTGTGCTGACTGTTGCGTAGCGAGTTTTACAGGAGCCGTTGATGATTAACCCCTGCCACTTCCAGCCATTACACAGCATGATACCCTCATGTAAACACACGACCTGTAACACTGCCAGACTGCCTGACAGGGTGCCAGGCTCCCTCAGTGTGTGTGTGAGCGTGTGTGCACGAGTGTAAATCTGTGAGTGCATGTGTACCAAGTTACTTGTACCTCAGTGTTTACTCTAGTGTGTGCCTCGATGCCTGAACACGGACTGCTTGTGATTACATTGCTGGATCACTGTGTGCATCTGTGTCCACTAGTGTGTGTGTGTGTGTGTGTGTGTGCACTGGGAGGATGTCTGCATGTGAGTGGTGAATAACAGCTGATAAGCGAGAGTGCACATGAGCAGACGTTAATGCAAAGGGGGGGCGGCGCGCGTTCAGGGAAAGACACTTTACCCATGCTGTGATGGAACAATGGCAACTGGCTGGGCTTCCACCTCCGCTCTATCAAAGCATAATCATATTAGTCTTTTCCCAGGACTCTGTGAGTGTCCCCGGGCCTGTGATGAAATTCCATGGCAGATCCATCCGGCACCATGCAGATCGCGCTCTCAGATGTTGCAAAATCGACACTGCGCTGCCCGGGCTTGTGATGATACACTGGGCAATTTTTCATTGCAACACTCCCAGCTAAAGGTGGCACACCAAGCCACAGGGTCAAAATTGTTTCCTAGCAACACGGTCTTTATATGTAAGGAGCATTTTCAGGAAGCTCCTTGGGCACTTCTTGTATGTAAACTTTAGCTCTTCAATGTGCAACATGGAAAGTCTCCATCTTGTTTTTTTTGTTTTTCTTTGCTCCCTCTTCTATTTTATTCAGCGCTTCTCCCTTTCCCTCCTGCCCTTGACTTTACCCCGACTCTTTCCCTGTCTTTGTCTGTCCCTCTATCTATGCCTCACTCTTTGGCCCCACAGCTATCAGATTGCAGCGTTTTTCCCCTCCCCTTGTGCAAGCAGATAATTTCACCCGTGACCTCTCTGCTACCCAGTTTTCAGGCTGAGCAACACTGTGGAAACTCATCAAGCATGCCCCCAGCCTCGACTGATACATGTAATAGCTACTGAAAAATACGTGCAATTCCATCAGTTTAGACTTGCACGTATGAATGCCCTTCAACACTGACAAAAGGAAGCCATTTATGATAATTCTGCAATGCCTTTTCACGAACTAAAAAGGATTCAGCGAGGAAATTTTCCTATAATGTTAGATGTATTTAAATTGGCACTTCTTATCTTGAAATTCTCCTCACTGTCTTCAGATCTCTTTATTGGCGTGGGGCGTAAAGAGTTGTAAATCGTGAAGAGAAAGAATACATTGTTTGTATGCATTATTATTATTATTACGCTGCCTCGAGATAAGAACTTACAGCAATCATGTGAGGCAGAAGAAATGAACACCAAACATTAACGGAAAATATTCAGTCTCTAAAGCTTGAAATGCAAAATGTAAAGTGGCACAGTTGGAAGAGAGTGTACACTTTCCATGGTTTATGACATCAGCTGTTTGATTGAAATGCTTTGCGAAAGCTTGTAGTAGTTAGGAAATATTGACATTCACCTCAGCAGTCTCATAATGAGAAAGGTTAATTAGTCTAATTAACATTAAAAGCTGTTTTTTTTTTTTAACAATCATCCTCGTTTACCCGTGAATGTATTTGGAAAAATGTAATGTGCACTCTGGAATAGAAGAGCGTGTTAGACGCTGGCAGACGGTCGACCAATTTAACATTTTTTTAAATCTGTATTTAAAGAGAGAGAGAAAGTGTGTTACGCCGTCTCTCTGCCTCTCCGACACATGCACATGGTTCTAGACGAGGCCACATGCATCATATATTGCGACAGGGAAACTAGAGCAGGTGGCTTTCGTAATGTGTTTTCACAGATGTGATCTCTGCTACGTTCCCTCTTCAGTCTCGTTGCTGCCAGTGAAGACACATTAGGAAATGAGAATGTCCGCTCAATGTCAATGTTGAAGCAGTTCGGCTTCGGACTCCTTCACACTGGTCACAGCTATCTCATAGCCTCCCGCTACTGATGTAATTCAAAAAAAAAAAAAAAACTGCACACACATACATGCACCTATACACACACATACACGCAAACTGAAGGTCATTCTTAATGGTCTCAGAAGCCTTTCCTTTTCACCATCACCGCAAACTCTCTTCAGCCTCTTCCGCCTTCCCACCATTCATTCAACATCCCCCCTCCCTACCCTTTAGTCCGTATTGTCCCTCAAACAAGAGATCCTCATAAATAGGCATGTGACAGCTGACAAAAGAAGGGGCATCCGCAGAGGATACTGTCTCATTTTACACAAAGCTAATGACTAAATAAAGACTACCACTTAGGAGTGTGAGAGAAAAGAGGCCTCCTCGGAGGGGCGATTAAGAAACTACAGCCTGTCCTCTCATCCCTCATACACCCATCCTCCTGTTCATTTTTTCATTTCCACCCCATTCCCCCTCCTTTACTCTGTGTTGTTTAAAAGTGGACCCGATCCCAGGATACTTGTTGGGTCCTGTTTGAGGCAGAACAAGTTCATCTCCGTATGTAAGAAAATTCCCCCCAACAAACCTGACTTATCACATTGCTGTGGAAGTGAATGCTTTAAATGGAAGAATATATCCAACCAGTGTTCTTAACCTCCACACACACCTGCATGTTTAATGTGGTAAGGTTTCTGAAAATAAAGATAGTCATAATTGTGTTGAAATGATAAATAAATACTTAGATTTTATATAATTATTAGTCAAATATGCAGCTGACTAATTTAGCTTAGCATAACGTAGCATTATGGAAACAGAACGTAACACTGAAGTTGACCCGGTATCTAATCTGATTATCCCAAAAACTAAATTGTATAAATGATCATTTCTTATTTAGTACATCATTTGTACGTACTGTAAATAAAAAACAGTGATATCAGTTTTCTCAATACAAAATCAACTTGAGTATTTCCCAAAAAAGACTGTTTGCTTTAATCGAACGTTCAGCTTCATTTTTGTATCTTCACACGTTTGCACTGCAACTATAGATTATTGTTATTGATAAAACAGCAGTAGTTTTTTTGCCTCTTTGCTTTTAATTGTTTGGTTTATTCAATACCAGGGGAAAAAAGTGAATAATATCAAATTTAGTGGCATTAAAGCTCTCACAAGAAGATATCAACTCCCATCATAGAAAACTGATTTAAAATTTCAATTTAAGAAGCTGGAATCTGAAAATTATACGTAAATAATAAATCCAAATAAAATAACTTTCAGGTAACGACTGATCAGTTATTAGACTATTCATGTAGTCTTTTTACTTGTTTCTTTTTCCAAAGCATTTCTGTCAATAAGAAAAGTTGAACTATTCACTGACTTTCAACAGAACTAACAAAAAATTAAACACTGTTTTTAGGGACAACTGTGAGCCGACAGCCCGCCTAACATGCACTCGACTGTAGCCACCAAAACAAACCGCAGTGTTCTGGGTGTTGCTGGACACCTACTTGCTAGGAGCACATTTACAGTCCGGCTGGTCAGTGCTCCGAGGGCGCTGGCACTCACACAGCTGTATCCGCCCTCCACGCCCAGGGCAGGCTGGCCTTCCTCAGAGGTGGGCAGCAGCAGGAGGGACCCGTTGACCAAATACTGCAGGTAGTCGCCCCCCTCCAGAGGCAGCGGCTGGCCATCCTTTTGCCAGGTGACATTGAAAGGTGCGTCGCTGGCCCCCAGGTTGCAGTCCAGCAAGAGGGGCAAACCCGGCTCCAACACTACATGGCTGGGCCCAGCACCACAGCTCAGCTCCACCGAAACAGGCTTTTCTGTGATAGAACAAAAAGAGAGAAGTTGGTAAACTGAGCTCTGTACCCACAAGGCTGAGCTGTCTCCCTGTGTTTTTTGCTGCAACCCTCTGCAGCAACCTCTTACTACTCTGTGAACATGGTGCAACTATGAAATAAATACTGCACCTTCTCCCCTCAGTGATCTGAGCATTGTTGCCTTCGTGTGTGTGTGTGTGTCATTTGTCATATTTGCTATTCTTCGTATACTTTATCAGTTTCGGCCAATTTGTCATTTCACAGCATAACATCAATAGCGTTGGCAGCACAGATGGATGGGGGCAGTGCATTCCAGAGGTAGGGTGTTTTGGGGACAGAGAGGAGGCCAGAGGAGGAGGAGGAGGAGGAGGAGGAGGAGCTCTGCAAATGAAATGGGCGCAGAGGCATGAAGGGATTTGTATGTCAGCAGCAGGACATTAAAGTCAGCGAGCGAGGGGAAGTCCTGGAGTGAGAGACTGATGAGCTGGTGTGAGGTGAGCAGCAGAATGCTCAATAAACTACAGTCAGGGGAGCCGTCATTGTTCAATGATAGCAGTTGAACGATGCCAAATTTTTACTCGCGGCTTATTTTCAATGATTCAATGTAACATGTTCAATTATTAATGAATGAAAGTTGCAGGTAATTGTGACTGTAAACGAATGCACTTACTGCGTTGAGAACATTAGGCTGCATTCGTCCTTCTGCTGGTTTACTTTACTGCCCCTCTTTATTTTGCTGTATCTCACCGACACATTTTGTCACTGTTGGTACATTTCGCTCGTCTATTTTGCGAAGTTGGATTGTAAAGCAGTTTCAATGACTAACAACACGGAGACAGAAGAGAAGAAAAATAGCAGAGGTCTTAAGAGAAACGAGAATTGATGAAATCCGAAGAGGGGGAGATCAATAGAGAATCAGGTAGAAAGAACTGAAGACTTCAGACCTGGGATGACATGCCATCATTTAAATATCATTTATGAGGAGGCTGAATAGCATCAGGAACACACAGACGAAAGCTGAAAAAGTGAGGGTCAACGGTGTCTCCATTGTACTGCTTCCATTAGACTTACATATATTATCCTATGCATGATCTATTGTTAGTGCTTCTAATGTGCAGGTATTTCTTCATACATTATGCATTAACATCTGCTTTGTAATATGCATGAGACCAGGGGAAATTCTTCTCCTTGTAAGTGAACTACAAAGCTTCGCTCGCTACTACCGTATATTAGAGCAAACTAGTGGAAAAGAATTGTAAAACAGAACCTAATGAATGTGTAAATGCATTGTGGTGTGGAAGAAGAATCAAAGAGTGAGGCCTGAAGAGCTCAGATATGTGAAAGTGCAAAATATGTCTTCAGGCTCGTACTGCAGAGCTTTCACTGAAGTAGCTGAAAGGTCCACGGTGACATCCATACCTAAAATTGTCCAATTTTAACAACACATACTTTGCTTTTGCTTGTCTCTATGCTACAAAAGGAATTTCAGCTGTCAGAAATGGAGCATACATGCGCTGCAAACACCACTGCTTTTTTTGTTGCGTAGGTCCTGCATCAGGCACAGTCTTGATTCCTTCCTTGGGATATAATAAACAAATTTAGATTTAGTCTGATGCCTGAAGGAACTTCACATTGGCATAGGCAATTTGGCACCATTGGAGCTTTGGAACGAGAAGAGTCATATTACTTCAAGATCATTTTTCACATTTAGCATTTATTCACTTGACAGACGCAATTTCACACAAAGTGTCACAAAGCTCACAGGTGCATGAAGTAACATACGGTACAAGTGCTTAGCAAATGCCTCTTTTTTTTTTTCTTTTTTTTTCTTTTGGTTTGTTTTCAGAAAGAGCGAAGACTGTCTGACCTCCACTAGCGACTACCCTGACGGCTGATTTATGTGTAGTGCTCTCCAGCTCAGTGGCCATTACTGCCGAGCACATTTAGTAACAGTGAAAGGTTTTGGTTGTCGGCAGCCGCCCCCTCTGACAGATCGAGGTACGTGTTTGTGGAAATTATTCCGTCTCAAAGCGAAAGTTTGGAATTAGCTTTGACAAAGCCTTTGGGGAAGAAAGAACATCAACCTCCATGTAAAACCACTACATACAGTAGCTCATTAGACCTAAAATATACCAGTTGGTTTTCGATTTGCAATTAACTATATTTTTGAACTAACTGTATTTTTTTCTAGTGCAACAATTTCCCTGAGGTTTACACCGAAGCGATCAATAAAGTTTCATTCTATTCTATTCTATTCTAACTCATAGTTTTTTGCATTTCTTGATTAATAAAAAAGAAAAACACACAATATTGTAAGATTAGAATATTGGCTAAGAAATGTACGAGAGTACCAAGAGACATGTGGGATACGTTGCTCACAATCAGCCCCTTGGCAGATTGTTCAGTCTAGTCGTACACGGTCTGTCTTTAACCAGCCTGCCACTCAGAATGTGACCAAAACATGAGTATTTAACGTAAAAAATATCTTTCAGATCCTCGACCGAATCGCTTGCACAGACGTCGTGACAAAAATGCTTAAGAACTGAAACTATATGCACGCCGTACATTGCAGAGTTAAACATGGGGTGCTATTTCAGTAATTGCAGATTATTTATATCTGCCTACAACCCAGATTTGTCTACAGCTGACAAATAGAGCTCAATAATAGGAACAATTCAATCCACAATGCTGCTTGTATGCTCTTCTTCATGCAGTTACATCAATCAGACTTTGCCACAACCTCTGTGAGCTGGTAGTTTCTCTGCTGTCAAACTGTAAAACTGTTCCTTTGCTGCTGTCAGCTGTCATTTTTAGTTGCCACCTCCACCTCCTTCCACGGGTCCTTCCACTGAGTCAGTCCTGCCTCGCATTACATCCGTCCAGATCCTCACCACCACCGCCACCACCAGTGTCGAGACTCCACAATATGTCAAATAAAGGCATTTAATTACGCTTTAAGCCTCACTCGCATTCGAGTCTCTCCTGATTTAAATACTATAAATGAAGGTTATGTCACTTCAAATGTCTTTTTCATCAAGTCAGTGCATGATCTCATGTGTACCTGTGCAAGTCATATAATTTAGACTTCCCTTGTACAGTTCACTTGACAGACCTCTTTGTGAATTCAGCTTAAAAACACTTCTCAGAGAGAGAGAGAGACACACACACACACACACACGTATGCACACAGGCAGGTTTCTTTCAGCTTGTCTTTCTCTGCCGTTGGATTAATTAAGTTAATGGGAGATGGAATTTTTTCCTTGATTAAATGAGGCCTGACCCCCCACCATCACTTCCTGATGAAGAGGCTGGGTAATGCTGAGAAAGGCTGCTGCACAGTACTCTGGTACACACACACACACACACACATCTGCCATGGAGACAACATAAACATGCATTCACACACATGCACCCAAAACTCATGCAAACAGGCACCACATGTTAAGAACACTAAAAAACATCAACACAATTGTAAGTGCGAGTCAGCACACACAGACACAAATCACCTCCACGGCTCCTCGCTTCCCCATCTCCCATTTCAACTAATTAGGTCTCATTAAGTCATTAAAACGTTAGCAGCCATTTCCCAGCTCACTGCCAATGGTTTCACTTGGTGAGAGGTGGGTATGATTCTGCGTTGGATATGGAACCCATTACCCCCTTTACAAAACCGGATCAGGGATGTGATGAGAAACAAGCAAAAGTTAAAAACAGGCAAAAACAAGTATCTCCTCCTACAAAGGTGTGTAAAACTAATTACATGTGAAAGGAAGAAACAAAAGCAGAGGTGTGCAAACCTTGAAAAATTACATTTTCAGAAGCGAAGTTTAGCATGACCTCTTATCCTTTAAAGCAGTAGGCAGGGTAAGCATATCACATATTTTAGTGGTGGATATTTCAACTGGGAATAAAACACTTGATATTCGCACACACATTTGTGCCAGAAACCTGGACATGCCCTACATTTCTGGCCACGTGTAGCACACACACACACACACACACACACTCAAATATACAAACACATATTCACACGCTAACACGTCCACCTCCACCCCCCCCACACACACACACAGATGCATGCCCACACAGTAACTGTCAGTGTCTCATGAGGACACAATGCGGTGAAGAGGGGGAATCTGTGAAGTGGCCATTTTGCTATTTTACTGTACAAGTGGGAGCTGCTGGAAAGGACAGGGTGCACTCTGGGATATAGTAGCGGCTGTGCGATCTCGCTGAGCTGTAGTGAATGGATTGTGATGGCACTCAGCCAAGAGGTTCATAGCTTACTCTAAGTAGAGAGAGAACAGTGGTTTACAAAAGAGAGAGGGGATGAAACAGAGACCGACAGTCACCGGGAGACAATCAAACACCGAGAAAAAAAAAAAGAAATAAAGAAGCAAACATATCACCCGTAAATACAGTGCCCCTGTGACACTTTTGACATGTTGTCTACGTTTGTAATAGCTTTCTAAGTGGACTAATAATAGTAATTGGAATCATGTAAGAATATAACAGTGATTTAAACCCCAAGTCGGATGTTTAATGTATCTCTGCACTTCTGCCACGGGTGAAAGGAGACAAACAGACAGACTAAAGGCTGATTTGTTGTGCTGCTCACAATCAAATGCACGGGAAAGAGAGACAGAATGGAAACAAAATGCGCACTGACAAAGAAACAGACTGTTTCTGTGATTCAGCGAGACAAGTCGAGATAAAAGGCAGGGGAAATGGAGACGTTAGGAGGGCAGTGCTCTCGATACCATCAACACTTATGCCACTAGTCCATTTCTGTTAATGGATCACCTATTCACAAAATGTTTGGGAGAACAGAAGGAGAAAGAGGAGGAGCGGGAGGAGGAGAGTGACCCAACACAGGGAATATTTCACCCGGCCCAGCTCAATGTCAACAGAGACTGGACACCCAATGACCCTGAGGCCACAGCTCAGGTTTCCACAGCCTCTAAAGTGAAGCTACACAATACTCCAGGCCTTTCAGGAACCTG